CGGCGGGGGGTGCCCTGGGGGCACCGGCCGCCGGCGCAGCGGCCGGCGGCTGCTGGAGGGGGCAGCGAGGGCCTTTGCAAGAAGAGAGAAAAAATATATTCTAAAAGAAAAGAACCTAAGCTCTAGATACCATGTTGTGATTCAGGAATTGTGTGTATTGTTGTACACATACCAATCTTATTTATAGAGTGAATACAATAAATGATAGAGATACTAATCTCTAATATTATGGAAACTAATCTAATCATATCCCTAATTGATAGTGAGGATAATAACTATAATATATGTATCCACAATATCTGTAATATATTCACAATATCTGTAACAAGCAAGAATAACAACCAAAACAGTTCAGTTGAATATAATTTATGATAATATTGGCTGCCTCTATAAATGTTTTGTTTTATAGAACTTGCTATATTTTAGAACTTGAGAAAAGATACATGTCATCAAATTAATAAAATATTAAGGAATATTGGATTTACATGTAAAAATGTATTTAATTTTATTTTCATTCACTCTGATTATAAATAGTAGTAACAACTAACAAGTGAATCTCACAAAGAGAAACATTATGATTCATTAGATTTCAAACCAGTGGTCCCTCCCTCTACCTAATGGTAGAAGTCATGTTGACAATCTAGACTCAAACATAATAGTTTATTTCCTAAGAGTCAAACAAAGACAAGCTGATTGTTTAAGAAGAAGCCAAAAAAATGACTTCTAAGAAATCTCACATTTTCACCCTCTTAGCCCCAGCCAATGTACCATGTTCTCACATAGTCTTCAAACTAATCATGAATTTTCATTTCATCTACCTCCTCAATCCCATTGAAGAATTGAGACTGTATATTACTGAAATACTGCTTTAAACATCACGCCCTCAAATTTTTTTTTAAAAAACAACTTAAATTTATTACATGATTATTCTCGTAAAAATATATCAACCAGCCTAAATCCTAAATTTCAACTCACACTGACATATCTACACTTAAGGGACTTTGGCTCATCTCATTTTAGACCACTCAACACATTCTCAAGGTTTTCAATATAGTTGTGGTAAATGGTAATACTATGGGTCCAATACATACTACAATGGTTAATTAATCAGCAGGATCTAATTCCCAAAGACTGCCTTGTACTTTCTCTGTTTTACATTTTGCATTCCATGCCCGAACTTGTTATTGAAAGTTACATAGACCCTCCCTAAGATGCATTAACTTTAGCTTAGCACAGCACAGTTTCATGGTTCCAAAAGTAAAGCAAAATGCATACTAAGGATCAAGGAAGAGTTAGTTAAGTATTGGAGTTCGAACACTATATGTCAAACCTAAATAATATATCAATAAACTAGTTATAAAGGAGTAGTTAAGGAAATACGAATCAGAGACACCTAATTCAATGAAACTGTAAGAGGGTCGTATACCAGACTCCTCTCCTTAACGGGCACAAAATAGAGCAAAATGTTTCTCTGTCATTTGAGAAAACCATGAATGACTAAATAAATTTAACCTTAGTATGCAGATGCTCCCAAGCAAAAACAAAGGTAAGAAAACAATTAACATGTAAAAGGACAAATAAACCCCATTGGAAATGATATGTCATAGCAAACATATGTGAACAAAAGCTACACGAAAACAGACCATGTCAGGAAATACCAAAAGCCACAGCCATAGAGAGGTGAAAAAAGAAAAGGCAAATATAATCTCATTTGCATACAATCCAATGCTTTGATAACAGGATGCGCATCCGTTGTTCAAAAGAAAAAAAAATCAGCAAAGAACAAGACTAGTTTGAGTTTCAGTGCATGACCCAAAACAAATGAAATTACAAAGCTGGAAATGTGTTGAATAGGGAGGCCAAACTGAGTTGTAGGAAGAGCAAAGTGAAATGGGAAAAATAAAGAGAGTGGCGTGTCGTATTGGATTCACGAAGCACTTGACGTGCAGAAAGGTCTCAGAAATGAAATAGGGATTCCAGCCCTAACATTTTAGAGGAAAAGGAAATTGCAGTGTAAGAAAATTAGGGGAATTGCGAGAGAGTGGAAATTGGGAATGAATAGAGCAATGGGCATTGGATCAAGTGGAAAGCGAAGCAAAATCAACCTAAATTAAGTATCGTCCCTCACTCACGATTCGAATAACAAGAATTAGAAAACAAAGATAACCAAGAAATAGGGGAAGCTGATTTACCTTACCTAGCCGCGAAGACCAAAGGGAATTGTTTGCGTTTTAGAGAGAGAGAAGAAGAAATCCGAGAAACCTAATGGGTGGGTAATAAGTGGATAAAAAGACAGAATGTGTGTCTGACTCTGATCAGGATAAGAATTGGTGCTTGGTTTCATAAACGAAAACACAAGACAAATCCTAATGTTATGCAAAACATTAACAGCACCACTTGCTTCCTCCACTTGTTTGCCATAGCCATCAGAAACCACCGTTTCGGACTTCGACCTCTGCCACCATAGAAGCTACCATCACCCACATCGATTTATGGGCTAATTGTTGGCCCATTTGAAATTATTTGGGCCTTTTTCGTCTGAAAACAATTGATAGACACACCTCCACTCTCGTATAAACACACCCCCTTTTTAAAAAAAATATATAAAATGTCTAAATTACCCTTAAAAAATAAAATTCTTAAATTTAACCCCCTTCCCGTACCCCGTTCCCTGCACTTCCCTTCCCCTCATCCCACACCCCCTTCCCCGCAATATATAATAAATAAGAGCAGTGATATATAGGTTCAATTACTGCTGTAATTCTCAACCGTGTAGGGTAAGGCCAGTGCTTCGTCGAGGTTGAGGCCTTCTCCCATTATCATGAGCTTCACGAGTTCAACGTCGGAGGAGTTTCAACCGTGTAGGGTAAGGCCAGTGCTTCGTCGAGGTTGAGGCCTTCTCCCATTACCATGAGCTTCATGAGTTCAACGTCGGAGGAGTCGAGGGCCCGCCTCATGCAATGGATTTTCTGGTCCTCGAGGTCGAGAGCGGCATGGTGGTGGTTTGAATTAGCACTTCCATGTAAGGCAATAATAAATGGGACGGGATGGGATGGTTGTGCAGGAGAATTAAAGGACCCTTTTTTTAATTTTCTTTTGAGGAGGTTTGTTCTCTTTTCGAAAGTGGATGTTTGGGAAAAGTTTCGTGCGCTTACTGTGTGCAAGACAAGACTGCATATCATGAGCTAAATTTAGAAATTCCTGAGTGTGCGTCGAAGTGCTGGAAGAACGGCAATTCGAGAAAAAAGGAGGTGTAGGGTGTGGGGGTGCGGAGAAGGGAGGGTGTGGGGTGCGGAGAAGGGAGTGTAAATTTAGGAATTTCATTTTTTTAGGGTAATTTAGACATTTTATATATTTTTTTAAAAAAAGGAGGTGTGTTTATATGAGAGTGGAGGTGTGTTTATCATCTACCTTCGTTCATTTTTGTTGAATGGCGTGTTATGTTAATTTTAATTTCTTTAATTAATTTGTCTCTCAAGTATTCGATTAACTCGAATGAATCCATCTTTGTACACCAAATTTAGTATTGTTCGTTATCTTCTAGAATTATGTATTGTAAGGATTTATACAGTTATGTTATCTAAGTGCGTGAAAATAGGATAGATTGTTTGTCGCAGATATAAGCATAACTAGATATATGCCATCATTACCATGTTACCACAAACTTGTGACATGGATCATTTTGGACTATTTTGGAATTTATGAATATTAAAATTATTTTTTAAATATCAAATTTTATAACATTGATATGGATTAAAAATAAATTTAATTTTAATTAAATATTTTTTAGGTTATTTAATTGTACAATTAGTTTAAGATACCCACTTTATTGTAAGTGTATTAAGCGATAATTAATTCTTACATGTTTGGTAATTGGTACTTTGGTTCCACTTTAAGAAATTGATTCCGGATTCATAGGATTATGAGTTAAAGGTCATTTTTGTATTGATTATGCATATCTATGTTTTTTTTATTATGATAATGACAAATATTTCTACCAACTTTATCGAAAATTAATCTTTTCAAAATCTTATTACATTAAAATTATTCTTTCGACATATTTTTTCAATCAAACTCAGATATTTTAGATAAGACAAAAAAAAAAGAAGTAATTTTATTATCTTGTGCAGAGAATACTATGCTTATACGTAAATTTTAGTGATGATCAAACATAAACATACAAACTGCTGGCTGTTCCAAATATGTGTGATCAGTATGATAAAAAAATATTGTGTAGGACAATAACAATAGTAATTAACATTTAATAGATGCCAAAAACCATGATTCCTATGAGGAATGCAAAAGGTGATGGGGAGACATAAGATGAAGGAGATGCAGAAGGACGTGGAGTCAACACTGGTCGGATTTGTGGAATTCTAGTTGGCACTTCTGCTTCCACCGGAGATGAAGCTGCTGCCAATTCTACTTTCTCATATTTCTCTGCTTCCTCCAGAGCCACTATTTTTGAAACTGCACGTAAATTTCTCATTTTAGTGGATGATTATTTCCTTGCAATTCATTTTAAACACATTTCAAACTTCTTTTATAAATTAGTAACAAAAGGAAATAACTTTGTTTATTTTTAATAAAAAAGGGTCGAACTTCTGTCTTACAGTTGTAGACTGTAGTCATTGATTGTAATTTTTCATACTAAGAAAATAAACTACTTTTATGAATATGCGGTAGTCGGTGAATATATTCTTGTTTGAAAGTTGAAGTAGTCTAAATATTATATCAATTTTTACATGCAAATAATACTTTACTATATTCATTTTTTTTTCTTTAATTGATTCCTTTGTGAAGTTAAGTCCAGTTTTATATGCCTCTGGACACGTTACTTTTACCTTGTGGGCTCAATGGAGAAGTAGCAATTGAAGGGAGAGTTGGGCCGCTCGATCCAAGAACTGCAGGGCCTGCAAAAATTACCCCTTTTTAGCTGATTGTTTTTATTGACCAAAGAAATAGCATAATTTAAAAAGTTAAAATTAAAAATTTTAGATAATCTTGATTACAAAAAAAAAAAATGTTCATTGAACTTTTACCAAGTTAAAAATATATCAAAATGGAGTACGACTGAATATTGGGAAATACAGTAATATATCAAAATTAGCAAGGAAAAATAAAATCTTGGGAAATGCAATTAATCAATACCTGGAGCCGATAAAGGAGAACCAGAAGCTGCAATGTACCCCACAAGAAACACCATTAGAAATCCAATTGGATTATTAGGAAATGAAATGGGAAAATTAAAGTTTGTCAAAACGTTTTAAACTTTTAATATTCAGATGCAATGGAGCATGAATTCAATTTGCACCTTTGCACTGTAAAGAAACTCCATTAATGTTGCACGCCTGTGAAAGAGAGAGAGCAAGAGCTTGGCTAAGGGGTAGTTGGAAAAAAGGAGCATTGGCAGAGATCATCAAGCAAGCACAATCCATGTTAGTGCTCATCAAAGACCTTAATGAATCACAACAAGTGCTTGGTGGAGTCAAACCATTATTATTAGTGCTTCCTGTGATGATGTTGGCACATGGTGTGAAACTACTCATCATAGAGGTTGTGCATGATGTACTAATTTGCCCATTAACCAATTTTGCTGAAGCCACAACAAGAGCTGCTAGTATCACTCCTATTTGAAAAGCTGTGAATCTCAGCTGTTCCATGAGGGGTAGAAGGATCAATTTTGGAAGAAGATTGATGTGAAATAAAATGGTCTATGTTGGATTAAACAAAGATAAGGAATGATTTTATATACTACAATGGTGCTACAATATTCTTGAGAAAAGGACAGGTAGATTTGAATATGACAAAGGAGTTGAACTAACTTGACTAAGTGAAGACTATTCCTGTCAATTGCCTCAGTTATTGTTACAGACTTGCAATTTGGTGTGGTTGGCTAGACAAATTTCCATAGTTTGATGGAAATTGGTTTTTAGGATGTTTGACATTAGAATTAGAAAATCATGCACAAACTAGTGCAGAACATGATCATGTGATAAGGTAACACAATTTTCACTAATTATAATGATAAATGATCTGTCAGTAGTTTGAGGATATGCTTTCCTGTTATGAGAACCTAATTCATCCAGCAAGGGACGTTTTCTCTTCAGTTGTTGTTTCCTTTCTCAGCTGCAAACAAAGTGATGGAATTAGAAGACTCTGAAGAAAAGGAATAAATGCTAAAAATGTCCATTCTAGAACGTCATGTAGGTCTTGCTGGACAAAATTGAGGCACATGATTTCTGACGAAATTGACCATCTATAGGAACTAACCAAACTAAAACTAATTTCCAAAACAATTTGTCATCATTAAAGTGAGGAAAATTCGAGAATAAGAGAAGGGAAAATGTATTGAATAAGAGAAGGATGTATGTAAAAGCTAGAGTTTTGTTAGAACATCAATGAGTGATAAGAAACTTCAAGAAATAGGGGTGGATTATGATAAATTATCAAACTTGCCCTATTGTGAACATGTTAATGACAAATACTTTATATTTCCCATACATAAAAAAAAGGATCCCTTAATATTAATCAACTTTTCTTTCTATTCTTGGCGTGATCATTTGTGCAGACTTTGGAAATAGAAAAATCAAAAAAGTTGTTGGAAAAAAAGTATCCCATGTTTCAATGGGCATGGCCACAACCTGCCTTCTCTCCTAAGCATTCGCTATTGCGTTAAAATTTTAACTCCCTTTAAGTAGTCCCCTCCATTATGCATCATGATTATTGTACCAAAAGCATGAAACATTGCATAGGCACACACTAATTCCATTACAAATCATTCTCAAAAGTAAAGCCATCATGAAAAGATGATAAATTTAGTGCTTTCAATACCCACAATATTACTCATGAATTAGGGACATAACAAAATGGTAAAGTTCTTAACACAAAAGATAAGAAACATAGAATGACACATAAGGCAACTTTATTAAATCAAAATGGTAAAGTTGTTAACAAAGAATCTGCTGCCTATGCAAAGTAAAAAAGTTGTTCACCTGCTGCACAAGTTATAGCCAGCTGCCACCCTTTAATTCACACTTTCTTTTATCACTATAAGCCATTCTCTTGACACTTTTCCATCTCAAAAAAATCCAAAGAAACCCTTCAATTCAATTGAGCAATTAAACATTGGCATTTGTGATCAAGCAATAGCATCATCCAATGGCACCTAGAAGGACTGAAATTCTTGTGATCATGTCCCTTGTGATGGCCCTTTGGGGTGTTACTTCCACATTGGCTCAATCCCAATCAAATTGCATCAATGTGTTCATAAGTCTTTCTCCATGCCTTGACTATGTTACAGGAAATGCCTCTACCCCTTCCTCTTCTTGTTGCTCTCAACTTTCCCTTGTGGTGAGGTCACAGCCAATGTGCTTATGTGAGGTTGTTAACGGTGGTGCCTCATCTATTGCTGCAAGTTTCAACATCAATCAGACTCGGGCTTTGGCACTTCCTACTTCTTGCAACGTTCAGACACCTCCTCTTAGCACCTGTAGCAGTATGAGTTATAAATTTGTTCCTGAATTTTTCCTATAAAATGTAACTGCAACATGTGAAAACTGAAAAGCTTGCCTTGTTATGTTATGATTTCAGGCTCAGCTTCTTCCTCATCAGGTGTTTCTGTTTCGAATTTTCCGAATTCCCCTTCAGGTACCAAACAGAGAAATTCATAGATGCTTTTTGTGTTAAACATTTATCTTAATTTGATCATTGGGGTGTGTCACATTAAAACTGCAGTTTAAGAAATATTACTGCAATAGATGTGTCAACACATGCTCAACAATATGGGGGAAAGAATGATATTCTACTTTAGAAATTATTAGATTATTCGAAACACTATGATCCTACTAATCTCTTTATAACACAATCTAGTGTTATTAATTTTTTTTCTTGGAGTAAATTAGACTCACTCCATGAAGTTTCATTAGATTGCACTAATCTTTCTAGTTTTTCTATTTCTAAACTAATCCTATTGTTTGTTTACACATACTCTTTAGACATTACATTAATGCCTTGATTTTTTTATAAAACATGAACTATGTTCCTTATAAAGGAAAGTTTTTATAAATGTTAAAAAAAACAAAACGATTGTGTGCGATCTCTATAAATTTTATGGAATGTTAGTATAATTTAATTTAATTTTTTTTTTTACATAAATTGAAAATTTTAAGTACATAGTCGAGGTCATAACCACAAAGTAATCTTACGCAACTTAATAATTTCTTGTGAGTCGTAAGTAAATCATTAGATAAAATAAATGTAAAAATATACTCTTTTCAATGCAATATCAGATTCTCACTTTTTGTTTATTGGGTCTGATTTCTTGTTTAGTAAAAATTCAGAGTGAAATTTACATTATAGCAAAGAGTGGATAGAAAATTTGTTGATAGTTTTCCTTTAATCCCGAGTGACCCAAGAGTTTATGTCAAACTTATTGCATACATGGCATCTTCAACTAGCCCTGTACAAAAGAAATAACGTTTTTGCATAGTGACTTTGATATTTTTGTTTGGCATAGGTATTGGATCAAACACTGTTTCATCAACAACCGGAAGCAGTAGAAGTGTCGGTGGCTCATCTTATGGAAATTCAAGTTCCACTAAATTCCCATGTTCTTTGGTTGTCATGTTTGTCCTTGCAACGACTTTGACTTTCACCTTCAAGACCTAGACAACGTCGCTGCACCTTTTTTTAAACCTTGTTATTATCTTCTATTGCTTCCAACTTATTTGTCCTTTGTTCTTAACAAATTTAGGAATATTTACCCTGTATATTTTATGCACATTTTTATCTTCTAATCATGTTCGTGGTAATTCCACATTGCTTCCTTTTTTTGTTTTTGGCTATAACAAGCTAGCATTTAGATTTATGAGTTTGACTAATCCTTCTTGGTATCGGGTTGATCCACTAATTAAGAAATAAAAAATACTCTCATATATATATATATATATATATATATATATTTGTGACTTTATGAGAAATCACTGGCACCAAATAACAATATTTGACATATTAGATTAGGTTATATCGTAACATATGGCTAAAATTTTGGCCCGTGCCAAACTTTGGGTCAACCAACTGTGTTGAAGGTTGAAATAATATTCTACCGTATTTAACAAGCTAAACGAATTTTTTTCTTTGAAATTATATGCATCTAGTGTTAGTTAGTAACAGTACAATGCACGGGTATCTAAAGAATTCATTGATGAATAATACAAATAAAAGTGCCAATGCCTCGATGATTTACGTTTTTGGGAAGATTAATAAAACACTAAATTGAAATTATTATTATTAAAATTAATTTGATGTCGACTTGGAGACATTGTACATGGTATAAATAATAGCTATTTTTTTCTATATAAAAATTAGAATAATTATATTGAATGAAGGTATTTATTGGATTATTTTGCAATGTTAAAAAATTTTACATCACTTAATAATTGAGGTTAAGGTAATTTATAAAAAAATTTCTTTAACTCATGAAACAAATATATTGTTCGCTTTGATGTTTATTGATGTCTCGGTAGGTTAAAGAGAGATAAATAATGTTTATAAACTATTCTTAATCTCAACTATTAGATGATATGAGATTTTTAAGCGTACTAAAGCATATTATATTTTAATAAGAATATTTTTAGTTTATTCACTATAACAAAAGTGTTTTTAAGAATTTTTTTTAACCACTCATCTCATTTTTTTTCTTTTTTTTAACTTTTAGTTTCAAATTAAATTTTAATTAGTATTTTAGCTTGTGTATTTCAAAAGCTAAAATGTTTATTGTCTATATTATTAATAAATATGGTATATATTATAATCATTCACACATATTTAACTTTAATTATTTTTTAAATAAAATAAACATAAACACGAGGTACCTTTCAAGAAAGGTCTAAAGTTTATAAGTTTTATTTTCCGTCTCATATTACTATGATTGTGGAATTAAGAAATGTTAAGTTGCTTGAAAATGACTTGATTAGTAGGAGTGATCAAACTAGGAACTTAGTTTCCAAACTTGATCGTATAGTATCTTAACCGTCTGTATCAAGTGATAGATTGATTGTCATTCATAACACTCTTGAAATTCAAATGGATGTTGAACAACCAATCATAGGTGTTCTGCAAATTGTTGATGCTAATCTAATAGATCAACTTGATCATGAAATGCAAGGAATTGATGAACAACCAGTTGAACAACATGATTTAGATGAAATTGTTGATTCACTACTAAGGATATTTATAATGATAAGGAAATCAATTATTCCTAGTGATTATTACATTGTGTATCTACACGAATTTGACTATAATACTGGAGCAGAAAATGATCCTAAAAATTTCACACAAACCACGATTTGTAGAAAGACAAATTTATGGTATATGATGTCATATAGGATAAGATGAATTCCATGCAAAACAATGAAATTTGGGATATTGTGGAGTTGCCTAATAAGTAAGGGCCATTAGTTGTAAATGGGTCTTTAAGACCAACAAGGATTCATTAGGAAACATTGAAAGATACAAAGCAAGACTCATTACTAAAGGGTTCATACAAAAAGAAGGAATTGATTATATGGAGACCTTTTTCTTTTGTTTCTAAGATTCTTTCCATGTTACATTTACATTAGTTGCTTATTTTGACCTTGAATTGCAAAAAATGGATGTAAAAATATCCTTTCTTAATGGCAATTTAGAGAAAGAAGTTTATATGAAACAACCTTAATGTTTCTCCTCTAGTAAAGGTGAGCATTTGATTTATAAGCTTAAGAAGTCAATATATGGTTTACAACAAGATTCCCATCAATGGTATCTTAAATTTCATGATAATTTCTTCATTTGGATTTGTTGAAAATCCCATGGATCAATGTATATATACCAAAAGTTTAGTGGGAGTAAAATATATTTTTTTTGTTTTATATGTTGATGATATTTTACTTGCAACCTATGATAAGGGTTTACTTCATGAGGTGAAACAATTTCTCTCTAAGAATTTTGACATGAAGGATATGGGTGATGCATTTTATGTTATTGACATTAGGATCCATAGAGACAAATCATAAGGTATTTTAGGTTTGTCACAAGAAACCTACATTAACAAAGTTTTAGTGAGATTTTGAATGAAAGGTTATTCACCACGTGTCGCTCCCATTATGAAAGTTGATAGGTTCAATTTGAACCAAAGACTAAAGAATGATTTTAAGCGAGAACAAATGAAAAACATTCTTTACGCTTCTGTTGTTGGGAGCCTTATGTATGCTCAGGTATGAACAAGGCCTGATATTAGATTTGTTGTTGAAAAATGTAAGTAAGATATAAGAGTAATCTAGGTATTGAACACTAGAGAGCTACAAAGACAGTGATGAGGTGCCTTTAAGGAACTAAAAACTACATGCTTATGTACAGGAAGACAAACAATCTAGATGTGATTGGCTATTCAGATTCTAATTTTGTCGAGTGTGTTGATTATCAACATCAGGATACATTTTCATGATGGTTGGTGGAGCTAGTTATTGGAGAAATGTTAAACAGACCTTGGTAACTAAATCTACAATAGAAGTTGAGTTTGTCTCTTGTTTTGAGGCTACTTCATATGGTGTATGGCTTAAGAGTTTCATTTCCAAGCTTAGAATTGTTAATTCAATTTCTAAGCTATTAAGAATTTTATGCGATAACTCAATTGTTGTTTTCATGGCTAAGAATAACAAAAGTGGAAGTTGAAGCAAACATATCAACATTAAGTACTTAACTATTAGAGAAAAGTAAAAGAAAAGAACATGGTCATTGAGCATATTAACACTAAGTTTATGATCATTGATCTTTTGACTAAAGGCATGCCACTAGTAAAATTTAAGGATCATGTAAAGAAAAATGAGACTTGATTCCATGTTATGATTGTATACATATAGATGAATAATGATACTCATTTATTTTGATGTTTTCTCATATTCATGTGCACATAAATTTATTTGAGAAAATGTATTTCATTGGACCAAGAATAAACATGGAATTTATTCATCAAGTTTTGTTACCACATTAAGTATAAAACTTGAGAAATTGGTTATGTATGATACATGGATGATAATACTCACTATAAGAGGAATTATTGTTATAATTTATGTAATCATTTCATAAGAGAATTCTTAATTAACTCTTTAAAAGTTTAAACCAATAGGGAGAATGTAATAGTTTTGAAATATAGTGATCATGTTTAATTCTATTGATTAATTCAAAACAAAGTCAAACTATGAATGATCATCAATGTGGTAGTAATGGTTACTAAATGTATCTTGATGGTAGAATGTCTACAAATAATGAGTTGTTGTATAAAAATATATAAAATAATTTGATTATATTAATTTAAAATATGGAGTTAAATCATGTTATGGTAAAAATAATTTTTTTACTTTCTAATCCATAAGAAATATTGTGAAAATGACAATGATATGAGGGTATAATCTAAATCTTCAAATATGTATATATTCCAACTCCTTTTGACGTTCCATGTGTACACAGATTCCGGTAGATTATTTACCAAGATTTTAAGAATTTAATGGAATGAAGGGATTGATTAATGTGTTGATAAGCAGGAGAGAGTGAAACGTTAACGTCATGCTCTCATCGCGTATTTTCAAATCTTGATAGGTTATACATCAGTTTCCAATTTATTCATTTCTTTATCTGCATTCTGCATTCTGCATTCTGCATTCTGCATTCTGCATTCTGCATTCTGCATTCTGCAACTGAACTTGAGTTCTGAGTGCTCCGTGACTCATCATTTTTAGCCATCTTACCACTCGTGTAACAAATTTCATAAATCTTTCTATTCAACTCACATTACATAAAGCCAAAGCTCTTTGATTGTACCTAATTAAGTTAAGCCAGATGAACAAAACTGAGACTATGGGGTGTCACGGGTTATATAATTCATTCACCTTATTGTTTACATATGTTATACCAATAGTTTAGTGTAATCATAATATAAATGTTTACTTTTATACAATTAAATTTTTATAACAAATAAATATTATGAAATATGTAAATTATATTTTAGTTGATGATAATATGACAAAATGATGCTAACATGGATCAATGCTATAGTGTTAATGTAGCAAGGAATAGTAATTATAGTATAATATGAAAATCAGAACCAATGACTTTTTTCATGTTTATTGTATAAATCACTAAATCATCTACCTTCACAGTTATAATATGAACATTATATTATAAAAAGCGTTATACATGAGTTAATTATTTTTTAAATTATATTTAATATTATATCTAGTTTAAAATTAATAAATATAAATGTATTAAATAAAATGAATAATTTTTAGTAATTAAATTGTATAATATAATTTATATACGATAAATATAAATACACAATCATTTTTTCTTTAATTTATTTTTTAACTTCATTCATTTTTTATATTTATATTTATTAAAAATATTGAATAATAAAATTTATGTTTATTATATAAAAAGTAAATGATATATATTTTAATAGAAATTGCATATACCTTTCATGAGTGACAATCTTGAGTCAGTTAAAATCACCGTGAATAAAATAAATAATATAAATTTGGTATATTTATTATTTAATATATATTTTATACAATAAATAACATAATTTTTATAATATTAAAATAAATAATATAACTCGCACGATGTATTAAAAACTATGAAAGATAAAAGGAATTGTGTGTTACGTTTATCGCATAAAAATATATTAAATAATATATGTGCTAATTTATTAGCTAAAATTGTATTATTTTATTAATAAAATTATTATTTGTTAATTTTAAAATAAATTTATTGGGTCTGTTTGTTTCTACTTAAAAATAAATATTTTTAAACAAATCCTTTTACAAAAAGTAATTCTTTAAGGAGCAGATAAGAGTTGTTGTTTTTTTTTTTAAATGCAAACTATTTATTTTAGGAAAAGAAATCTTGACAAACATATAAAAAATAAAAAAATATATTAAACATATAAAATGGTAGAGTCCACTAAAAGATTCTTGCTTCTTATTTTAGCATATGAAAGAGAAAGAAATTTAATATAAAATATATATATTTTTTATTTTTAAAATTCAATTATTACTCATTTTCATTATTTTTATATTATTTTTATATATTTTTTAATTGCTTATTTTTTAAACTTTAATTTTTTTATCATGTTTATAATAATTTTGTTTTGAACTTTAATTATATTTAATAATTTTCATATAAGTAAATTTTATGAGACAAATTTCAAGTCTTAAATTAGTAAAAAAAAAAGCTAAAAAAACCTAAATTTAGAAGATAAAGAATCAAGATGAATATTTAAATAAAAGCACTAAAATGAATTAAAAAAATATCATAAAAAACTAAAAATATAATTAAAAATATTTAAAATTATTTATTTGTTATAAAAATTTGATTATAATACTCTCTCTATATATAATCAAAACATATATTTATCATATAACATTTAGTTATATAAAAATAATAATTATTTTATGTATCACACATGTTAAAATGTTAGTAGTATATTTTATAAACTATAATGAAAGATTTATCTCTTCATAAATAAATCATCTAATATATTCAAGATTTTATTTATATTACTTCATTATTAATTATTATTTTAGTGAAAAAATAAATTATATTAACATTGTATCTATATTTTTTGACATGCATTTAAAAGTTAAATAAAGTAATTTTTAAGAAAAAAAGAAAGGTAGATTGATTAGCTGGTCCATAGGAAATGATGAGTGAATATCGAAATGAAATGAAGGGAGGCATTGAATAGATTAGAAAGGGTGGGAAGAGATGTAAGAAGAAAAGGTCCCTGTTGTTTCATTATTTTTCAATTTTGTTTGTTCTGCACGCGCAATTCAATTCGCATGTCAACCTAACCCAACGTCAATAAAAAAAAAAAAACTGGAGATTCCAGAAGTTGTGGGGGAAGAAAAATGAAAAGGAATTTAGAATATGCTGTGAGCGTATTCGTCTGCAATGAGTACAAGCAGTGAGTCAGGGTGGCACGCAACGCAACTCATTACGCAGTTAAAGGGATCCCTATCCTTATTTATATATTAATATTAAATACAAATATTATTTTCATTCCCAAAATAAACCTAATATTGGGAAATAGAATTAGCAAAACAACACACATTGGGTTTGCAATTTTCAGAAACAAATCAAAACCTTAGGTGACTGGTGAGGGCAAGTAACGCACAACATTCACATTCACATTCACATTCTAAGGCCTAAACTCTTTAATTTCTTCTCTCTCTAAAACGCAACATCATGAGGATGTTGGTGATGAGTCTTAAGGCTTCAGTTGGGCATGCTCTGATAGGATGTGACATCGGGGCATAGTTAGCGTAGTTTAATATGTTATTGTTTTAATAACTTTAGTTTCTCTTCTTTTGTAATTTCTAACGAAGAGATAACGTAGATAAAGTTTATAATCCAAGGAAAATGTATGTTAAGAATTGTAATTTGAACGTTCTTGATAAAAGACCAGAATGAATATCTTTGTTATATTTTTATTACATGATTTG